ATTAATATTATATAGATATTTATATTTTAAATATAGTAAAAGAAAATGATTTTACCGAATTTGACCAAATTTTTACCGAAAAATGAAATATAGATAAGAAAAAATTAGAAATATAAAAAACATTAAATTGTAATAGAAATGTGATATTATAAATATTAAATAGATGTTATAATAAACAATATTATCATATTTAACATTATACCTTTAAAAATAATGTGAGAAAATTTTGCTGATATCTTAAAAAATTCCCTAAATATAGATCAGAAAATAATTTTATTGTACAATCAAAATTATGTAGGAATCTCAAGCAATGCTGCAAAGAATTTTGATATTCTATAAATAAGTAACTAGCATAATTTAAACGTTCTATATAATTATTTTGATGGTTCAACAAAGTTAAAAATAAAAATTACTTTTATTAACACAGATTTTATAATTTGTTATACAAAAAACATGAGTAACATAATAAACATAAACGTAACATTTTTTATGTTAAATTAATATTATAATAAACGTCACTATATTAATATTTTTTTCATATAATTTTTCACATAACAATAACGACTCATTTTATAAATCTTTTTAATTTTTAATTTTATAAAATTAATATTTTGCACATGATTGATAGAAACTTCGGTTATCGGTTGTTTGAATTACGTGACATAATTCATTGATTGATATTTTAGTTCTTGAATAAGGAGTATGGTGGCACTGTTTCTACGTTCATTATAGAGTCCCTAGAAGAAGAGAGTCTGGACATTCGGGATTCTGCGTGATTGGTGCACATGACTTGTGCCTTCACAATAGCACCAATACGGAACACTTTGCTCACTCAGCGCGAACGGGAGGAAAATTAGAATTGAAATACATTGTACTCAGAATTTATAATAGTATCACAGAAGTAATGATCAATGTATGTATATTTCCTAAAAAATTGAGAAATATCTTTGGCGAAGGTTCAATGTACATACATATGATGCAATGTATATAATATACACTGACTGTGTACTCCCAAAATTCACTACTACTATTAAAAATTTATTTAATACATACGTGAACTATAAGGCATATTGTTTTTAATCGACTTTTCGCATCTCGGTTTTTAAATCGTTTTTGATTAGAGCATCCAGATATATAACAACTTGGCATTTTTTTATCTACAAAAGTAATTATTTAATGATGAGATTAATATATTGTCTAATTGATATTTAATTTTTCTTTATGCCTCTATGTGTTTCTCTTTATTATCCTTTCAATATATATAAATCGCGAAATAGGCATGTATTTTTGTGAGCAACAGTGCATCCTAATTAAGTGAGGAATATAAAAACAGATTCTATTATTATCTATTATTAAAAATCTATTATTAAAAAAAAAGGAGTATAAGCAGTAATTATTTCATTTAAATTATATCAAATAATATAAACTCTAATTCTAATAAATTTTTTCGTTAAAAAGATATAAAAAATTATAAAATTTGTAACAAGACACGCAATTTGCAAATTTGAGATTTTACTCTAGAAATAGAAAATTATATAATATTTGTATATATTTATATATAAAAAATTATTTCTTTAAAATTAAAATTAAATATACGGGGAAAAGAAGTAAAAACTGCAATTTTATAATTATTCATGGTCTTATACACTTTTTTTCGTATTAATTTTTTTAAAATATATGCTACAATTTTTGTAAGGATTATTCCACAGAAATCTTAAATATATACTTTTCATATGATAATTATATTAAAGTATTATAATAATAAATGCAAATTGTGAGAAAGCGATAGGATAAGATAGGAAATGAAATAAGACATTTGGCATGATATTCAGTTGTATATAATTACGAATGAAAATGACAAATTACGCTCATTATGAAGAATATGTAGAGAACGCAATATTGTAAAGTCTAGAACTATATATGATAGTCTCAGATCACGTTATTTCATTACATTAAAAGATATGCTGTCCTCGTGAATTAGATTATATGGTCATATAATCAACCATTGTAAGAATTATAATTTCGTCCTACTAATTATAATTAGTGTTGAAAAATTCTAAAAATTGAACGTTACATCATAAATGTAACGGTATCAAATAAAATAATCATGCGAATAATTAGTTTTAATTAGATACAAACAGGAGTTGAATTGAAAATATTTTGTACTGCTGTTAACATATGAGAATAACAAAAATATAGTAAGAAACAATTTTAACAAAAGAAAAACATTTGTAGCAGATTCCGATTGATCGATTAAGATAAAGAACTTCTCTCTTGCATTCTTCCGAATCTAAATTGTCACGCATCTAATAGATCGAATTACGCTAACTTGAACTACATTGCCATATATTAGTATAAATTATAAAACTCGCTTTATAGTTTTATATTCGAACTGAATCAAATTAACTCGAATCGAAACATAATTAATTTGTTAATAATACCTAATTAATTAATGACGATCAAATGAGAACGATCAATTGTTAATTGCAAAATGTACTCAAAGACTTCTTAAACTTACCGTTCTGGCGAACAAAATCATTGTCATGCATGAAGTCACCGATAATCGCGCGACGTGTACATTTGTAGGGATGGGTAGAAATTTCATCGTTATTAATATGCACGAAATATCAGTACATGGAAAAAATAGTTTGCTGTCTGAAAATTTAGCCAAATAGAGATGTGAAAATAATTTTGTTGGACCATTAAAATAATTGGGCTTTCAAGCGTAATAAACAATATTTTGATGATTTAGCAATCCACTTTCTACATAATTATTTTGATGGTCCAACAAAATTATTTTCTGATCGGCATTTAGCTAAATTTTACGTAATTTAGCAAAAGCATTCTTTTCGTACAATGAAACTACAGAAATATGGCTGATTGCAAAATGTCGGGAGTATCCCTTCTTTTCTATACTTAGAATGGCCGCATCTACGAAACTTGCCCAGTTACGCACGCGTATATCAATTCTTATTTTCTTTATACGGCTTCTTATTTTCGTTAATACATTCCGATAAATAATTTTCTTATAAGAAAGTTTAACAAATTGCATGCATCGGTATCGTACCGTGTAGCAACGAAACAACGTTTCATGTATCTTGAGTCATCTTATCGGAGCGATCGAACGAATCGCAATTACTATCGATCGCTTCATCACTACTGCTCTACATATTTTATCAACATAACGAAAGAAGCGACTGCGTAAGAAGTTATTTACAAAGTTACTGCACGGAAAGAACTATTTACTGGAGTAAAAATTTAGCTAGAAGATTTGAAAATAATTTTCTTGGATCATTAAAATAATATAAACATAAAAATCTCAAGCATGCTAAATAATGCTGCAAAAAAATGTTAGCATTTCAGCAACCTGTATCCTACATAATTATTTTGATGGTTTAATGAAATTATTTTCAAATCTATATCGAGTTAAATTTTTAAATATTTCAACAGAACCTTTCCGTATGAATTATTTTCTATCGATTTATCTAAGTATTATTCCTGAAAATCATGCTCGTGGTCCGAGCTAATCTAGTCTGCGAGATCCGACTAAAACCATGACAATTGTTTGCGGTGGGATCATAATCGGCGCGACACCCGCGACACTCAAACCCAACAAACGCTGACGGACTCGGTGGTGGTTTGCGGCATGCCGCCGATGCTTGCTCGGTGCTGTTTGAAGAGCGCCTGAATTTCCGCCGGCGTGGAGGACCACCGTCGGTGCCTAGTCTTGTCTAAAGGCACTTCCGGAAGACCCACCTCGGTGTGGCAGCCTTTGATTGGCGTGATCGGTAGGGCTGCCGAAGCAGGTAGGCCTACCTCCTGGAAGGAGCTAATCGAGAAGAATCCACTTTCACCCTCGGCGCTGCTCACCGGACTGCTGGCCGGCTTTACTTTAGGTTTACCAACTAGACCTGTAGATTCTTTCTTTTCTAGTCGCTTCGTAGTCCTGCTGAGCGTCGAAATTGGTGTACCGTTGGACGTGATTCCATTTGACGCGGCAAGCGCGAGAATGTCCTCCTCTTCTGTCGTTTTACTGCTACTCGAGTTCCAGGAGGCAGTGTCAGGAGACCTTCTCACACTTGGTACGAAGCTTTGCAAATTTCGGGTAAACTCGATAACAGACGTTTTGACGAGGCTTGGCGATCTACTGTCGTCCTGATGACCGCTGCTCGATTCGTTTCCGCGACTACTATTGGAGCATCCGGAAGAGGCTGTGGCCTCTTGTAAAGTTGTCGAATTGGCGAAGTTACTGTTCGATAGGGAGAAAGACGTGTCATGATGACGATGGTGATCCACCGTAGGAGAAGGAGAAGATCCATTTTCCTCGACCGGCGTCATTCTCGCCAAATCGGGCTCTCGCATTGACAGCAAGGACTCAACGGTCCTCAATAACCTGTAGAAATATTTCACACATTGATTTTTCTTAATAATGCAAAAATAATAATAATATAAATAATTATTAAGACAAAGATATCTAGTAAGTAAATTGATAGCAATTGATTATCGTTAAATTGGTATCAAACTCGCTCAGAGTTGGTAACAATTCCGATGATGTTCTAACAAAGCATGTATACATAACCATATAGCAAAATGTCAGTAAACACCGAGTGGAACTTTGATCTACCTTGGTTTTAATCGATTCTATCAATTTGCTATCAGGTTGTCAGCAATCTTTGCACGATTTTTCTAATAATTTACTCTCATATTACATCAGTGGATTCCGTATACCTGCTACCAATTTGCTAACTATGGAATAATATAATGGAAGTGTATTAAATTCTGTGCCTTTTTGTCGATAATTTGCAAACATTTGACAAGATTTTTTTAACAGACTTGACTGACTGGGTCATAAATAATTAATGTTAATAGTAGCAAGTTAATAATTCGATTTACGAACTTAGGATTTTCATGAAATCTTTCTCACCTAAACGCCTCCTGAGACAACTTCTCCGGCGGTATCTCATCCGGATTCAGTTCTGTCTGTTTAGGTTCGCGATAAACGACGTTATCGGGAATGTCGTTCGTCTTACTGAGATCCAGCGGTGGCTTAATACGTGGCGTTGTGCAGTGCACCGGGTCGTTTCTTCGCAGAACCGACCAGGTGAACTCGCGGAAGCAGGTAGGGCTTGGCGAACTGATCTGTGTGACCGATTTGGCGCGTGTGAACGGCGAGGATGTCGACGATGGCGTTGCGATTCCGCGATTTGGCGACGGATCCGTGTGCATCACCGTGTGCACGCTGCGGCTACGTGGCACACGTCTCTTGTCCTTGGAATTTTCCTTGGCATGCAGGATCTCCAAGCTCCTGTGAGCCCGGCCCAAGAAATGAGCCACTTGTTCCATCGTAGAACGATACATTTGCCTGTTCGATTCGACCTGCAAAATTGATCGATAACAAAATTA